AACTATATATGGAGACCCTCATCTTGAAAAGCAGGAGCCTCATGTAATGACATAGGGAGAAACTGAGGAATATCACGTAATAGTCACAAATCTGTATGCACCAGAAACATCATAGTCAAATATATACAGGGAAAATTGGAATCTCTAGCTCAGATAGTCTCGGCGTTCGCAGCCCAGGGGCCGAGCCATGATTGGCTTAGTTGTGTAATACTATCCCCCTTGCCAGATCTTTCTTTTTCTTTTTGAGACAAAATCCAGATTTGTAGTTCAGGATGGCCTTAAACTCACTCTGTAGCCCAGGCTGGCCTCGAATTTGTGGTGATCCTCCTGCCTCAGCCCATATAGTGCTGGGATGACAAAATCTTCCCCTGGAGGATCCCAGAACCAGTGCAGGCACAACACAGATCATTGGCCCACCAGGCAGATCCAGAAATCCAGTAACAAAATCAGTTACATTTCTACACCGATTTTACAATTCGTTAAGTTTTACACTTAAAGGAAATTAAGAAAAGAATTCCACTTACATGAAAATTACGAAGAATAAAGCTACACATGGTGACACATTCCCGTTATTCCAGCACTTTGGGGACTGAGGCAGGAAGATTGATTGTCATGAGCTCAAGCCCACCCTGAACTATATGGCAAGAAACCATCTCAAAAAATAAAAATAAATAAGACGCTTAGAAGTAAATTCCACTACAGACATGAAAGACCTAGATACAGGAAAGCTACAAAACTGTTGAAGCTAAGACACAAGAGAAAGAGCTTTAAAATATCAGTACTTACAAAAGCAGCTTGCATACCTAAAGAATTCGTTATCAGAATTCCAAGGGTAGTAGTTTTTATTTTTTATTTTTATATTAATTTTATTGAGAAAGAAGTAGTAATGAGACAGTTTCAAAACAGATTAGTGGGGCAGTTACAATAATTAATACTTTGCATATTGTTGTCTTTGTAGTAGTTATTCATAGTACATGTAGTTTCTATTTTTCAGAAATAAAAAGTAAAAAGCATCCTAAAATTTTTATGGAATCTAAAAGAAAACCAAATTGTCAAAATCTTGGGGGGCCCTCTTCCCAGCCGGCGCCGAGC